TCCTCACTGCGCGACACCACCTTGGCCAGCCCGGGGGGAAGGGGGGGCGTCTTTAGTCTTGTCCTCTTGGGTCTCCTTTAAACACCGAGCTCCCCTTTGCACCCCTTCGTGTCCGGCTGGATACATCGTCCGTCCCCCCCCCCCAGTCCACCGTGGGGCTCCCCTGAGCTGCGAGGCGAGGGCCCCTTGCAGCCAGGGCTGGGAGGCCGGTTTCTGCGCCGCTTTCCCTGCTGCGCACTGGTCTGAGCGTCTGGGGCCCTTTTACCGCTAGATCTTGGCCCTGGCTACAGAGGAGCAGAGCTCGCTGGACCCTTCCCAGGCGGCCCCTGGGTTGATTTTTCTCTGCGGAAGGGAACAAAAGTGGCTGGACAGGTTAATTGGGGCGGGGGGGGGGCTGTTTGTTTGGCCGGCGTGATAAAAGAGCGAGCGAGCAGGGTTTCTCTAGGGCCGCCTGGGGCCATGGGGTCTCCGTTGCTGCGGGGTTTGGGGCTAGAATTGCCCCCCCCCAGCCCCTCTCTAGCTGTACGTGTCCATCGATGGCTGGCAAGAGCAAAGCCCCCAGCGGCGATCCAGCCCCGAGGATTGTTGTTGGCGCAGATGCTGGTCCTCAGGGAGGGTTGAGGGCTGGTGTTTCTTGGACCTGCCGTGAGGCGTGTGCGCTTTTCTAATGCGTAGTAATCGGGTGATTATTTACCTCTAATCATCTCCGCACAGAAAAAAATAATTACACCGAGAAGGAGAGTTATGGAGGGGAATACAGTCCCGGCACCAGCAGGCGTCTGATGACCGCCGACTTCCCCCCGAGGCTTGCAACGCGCCCCTAACTCAACCCTACAGCTGCTCGTGAAGAGGCATTTTCATAGCGGTGGGGGCTTTTGCCTGGCCCCCTGGCCAGGGGACGGGGCTCGCTGGCACGGGTACAAAGCGCTGTATTTGCGTGTGTGCCCGCAGGATCCGCAATCTGGCGCAGTCGTTGGGCCAGCGTGGTGTAAACTCAGTCAGTGCGGGGGTGGGGTGCCCGAAGCAGGTACAAGTCCCCTGCGGCAAGACAAGCGGGGCAGGCATGTGACTGGCGGGACGCACAAGTAGGGTTTGTTGCCAGCCTGCTCCTGCTGAGTTGAGAGCTTTAAAGTATCCCCAGGTGATTTGCTGGAGGGAGATAGAGGGACTGGTACTTTTGCCCACCGGGCGGGGGTGGAGGGGGGTCAGACTGGAATTTGGGAAACTGTCCCAGCCCTATTGGAATAGAAAAACGAGCCTGTGTCATTTTAATACAAACGTTGCCAACTCGATGGAGACAAATCCCAGCATTTAGAATTAATAGCTGCTTAGAAGCTGGTTCTGGGGTGAGAAAATGTCCTTTCCCCCTCCCAATATACGTCCTTGGGGATCTTCTTATTGACAGACGCGCAAGAAGTAACTTGGTAGCCGGGACTGTCTGGTAGGCGCGTTTGGCTCCGGAGTGCGCATTGATTTAACTTGGCCTGGGTGCCCCGCAATTGTCTCCACTCAACTCTTCTCCGTTAGCGGAATCCCCAGTTTCAATGGAGCGCTGCTTCCATTCGTGTCTTGCTCTCCAAAAAGCTATAAACCGGTTATCGACAAAGCGCTAATTTTCGCCGTTAAAAATCGCAGGATTTCTTGCCTACGAAAATAGCCGCTGTTTCTCTGTAATTCGTACAAGTTCCACATTTAGAATGCTTCGGGGCATGAGGAATATAATCCCCACCCCACTCCTTTCCATCCCTAGGTTTTGTGTATAGGGGAGATATATTTACTTATGAAGCTATGGGTGCATTAATTCCTCTCCCCTCCCCCGATATTTGAAGGGAGTTCATAACCCCCAACTCGCTGGATTCTCTGTAATTTGGAGAGCAGCACAAATGCCTGCTAGGATCCCTCCTGCTTCTGTGTCCCTCGGTTGGGAATTTCTACTTTTTGATACAAGTTTGTGTCTCAGCAGCACTTGAAATCAATGGGACGGTGTTAAACGTTTGCAGATTGGTGAGGCATAAAACTGAGCAGATGAGGACTAGCTTGATGCCGTTACTGGCAATAATAAAGGAATGGATCAGATTGATTTCCCACCGGGCAAAACCGAGACCCAAGACAGCAATGGGAAATAAAGCGTTCAGCTGGGGGAAAGTTTCAATGATCAATGCAAGGACTAGATTGGCTTATGGAACGGGTTTGCTTTGCTTGCTTTCTGAAGTCGAGACCAAACTATGTTTAAAATGCGAGCTCGCGTCTTACGTATTTAATTACAGACATTAGGTTTAAAGAACTGGCTTGTTCCAAGTGTTGCCTGATCTATAAATTGTGTATTGGCTATTTTAATTAATCATATAGTAATATTAACCTGTACTTATAGGCTACACAAGATAAATTTTAAATATACCCTTTGGCTGGATCGACGGAAATATTACCCACAAAAACTTCTGACGATCTGAAACGCGATTCCGAGCGGTGTTCTCTATGCCTGCTGGATTTGCATGGACCCCTGCTCTCCGTTCAATTGTAACTGCAAATCCTAACCGGATAAAACTCTACTGTTCAAAACACTCACTCACCAGGCCGCTGGAGTTATTGGGGTTTGAGAGTCCTACAACCGCTCGAAAGAGGCAAACAGCAGAAATCTTTAAAGCTTTCTACTGTGAGTAAATTCTCATCCCCTAGTAAAACATCTCATCCCAAAGAGCTAATGTTACTCCCCCGCAGGATTCATTTACAAATCAGGTACCGGCTCAGGCAACCATCGGTGCTTATGTCCCTGCGGCACCGTATGGACAAGACCGAGGTGTAAACACGCTCTTTGCTCGCTGTGCTTAGTGCACTACTGTAAATGAAAAGGACATTTGCACAGTGAAAGTCCGGCTTGATGCGCCGCAGCCTCGGTGGAGCTGTCAGGTCTTATCTTTATTGGCTTTTCCCAGCCTCTGTCCGAGTTGAAAAGAGGTCTCCTTTTATCTTAGCGAGCTTGCACTGAGAATGTTTACACAGGGCAACTTTTTGTTTTAGCATTATTACCAAGGTTAAAAACCTGACTTGAGCCCGGAGATAAGTGGGTAATATTGCTCTCAGGACGGGACCCGGTGCAGCAGCTGCCCGGATCACGGAGCAAAATAAAACCAAAATAAAATAAAACCAACCCTCTTAGAGGTGTTTTCCAAACCAACTGAAAATGAAGGCGAATTCCCCGGCAGATATGGCGAATCATTTCCCTGTAACAGATCCCTGTATCCATCCGATAAGAATGAAGTGTAAAGCTTGAAAAATGTTTTTTGGAAGGTACATAAAACTAGAAGAGAACTGAAAGACAATAACGCAATACGTTCACTCTAGCTAAGTGAAAGCGTTTGTCAAGCTCTAATTGACTTGTTAAGAGAGAGAGAAAATATCTAGGCTCAAGTCCTGATCCCATGTACTCAACTGGGACCAAGATTTAGCCTCGATACTTTCCTACAAAGTAAATGCAACTGACCAGTGACTTCTTTATTTGGTGGAGAAAGGCGAATGCAATTGTTTGGGGTGGTGGGTTTTTTTGTTGAAAGGACACGTGAGAACTAACTAAGTTCTTTGGTATGTAAAGCTTTTGATCAGCAGCTAAAACATCGCTATCGGACGGGGACCGGGGAAACGTTTGCTTTTGGGATCCATCAGTTTAATAGCAAGCTGTTGCCCTGCTTAAAGTTAGAAATAAAAAGCGAAGGGAAAACGAGCGTTCTCCCTGGTAAACAACAACCCATTGTCCCATCGGAGCAGAACAAACAGACGGGAGCGCAGCTGCCATTGTAGGCCCTGGGCCGATTGTGCCGTCTTTACTCGGGCAAAACTCCGCCATATTTCAAAGGTGGGCGAGGGGCGGACTATAGAGCCCCTCGCTTTGCAACCGCTCAGCTGATTTTTGAATCCCAAGGACGGTTCGTTCATGGCGAAGTGGAAGAGTCCGTCCGAGCGCTGCTGTTTTGTCACCCGCCCATGCATAGACATATAATTCCTTCCAGATTTCTGCTGAGTTATGCTGTGTTACCAGACTGGGAAACCCCAGGCCCTGATCCCTTATAATCCAGATCAGGAAACGAATTAACAGAATGGGGCTCAAACCCAGGGACCCGTTCCAGTGGCAATGGAAATCACAGGGGAGTTCAGCGTTGCGGGCTGGGGGGTTGTTTCTTCAAGTCGTACCTGGGCTGAAGGGAACAGTAACGTTTTCCCGGGGTGGGAAACCAAAGGGCAGGTTTAGAAAATGCCCCCTCCGCAGTCACCGAGCAGAACCACAGCTGAGCCAGCGGTAGAAAGCAGCGACCGGCCGCTCTGGGCTCCCGCGGCTCGATGGGGCTGTTTGTGGGACTGGGCCAAAGCTCTGGCCTGGGCCAGCTGCGGATACTCGTGATTTCCCAGCTGCAAATTAGCGCTGCCCTTGACTCGGCCCCCGGGTTCTCAGGCGATTTCAATTTGGCACCTGGGCGCACCAGGGCCCAGCGTTTCGGGCAAGGAAGGGGGCTGGGGGGCGCAGGCGGGAGTCGTGCTAGGCAGGGCCGCTCAGGTTAAGCCGAAGCAAAGCCGCGCGTTCAGACAGCGAGGCCGGGGCCGGGGCCGGGGCCGATCGCTGGGTTGCGAGGAACCGGGCGCTCCAGCCGGGACGGGCTGCAGGGCCGGTAGGAAATCCGCTGCAGTCGCGCTTTGAGCCAGGGCATGTCGGGGGCAGGCCCGATTCCGTGCTCGGGCAACCCCCACTTCCCCCCAGTTTAAATCAACGGGAGCTTGGTCCCGATACACGCTGGTGGGACCGGTCTGTGTGTCCACGTGCTTGAAGGGCCGGATCCTGCAGGCAGAGTGGACGGGAACACACAGTCTTTGAGCAATGTAGGCATCGGTCATGCGGGCTGGTCCGCTGAAACCCAGCGCTGCCCGCCCCGTCTGTTTACACTGAGCCCGTTCGTTTTTCTCCCACGCAAGCCGGCTTGGCACTAACCATGTGTGTCCCTGTCGAAAAGGAAATGCTCCAGGAGAAAGGCCTGTCTGAAACGGAAGAAGGGTTTCCAGCAGCCCAGACAGCTGGTCATGCAGAATCCGCAGCGGGCTCCCCGGTTCTTGGCGTGGCAGGAGTCAGCAGCACGCCGCTGAGCAGCCCGCAGGGCCAGGATCCGGAGCAGGTACGCACCCCCGTTTACACAACAGCCGGTATCTTCCTGTCTGTCCGCGCTGTGAATTGCATCCCGCCCCTGCTTGCCGGGCTTCCTTCCCACTCCCTTAACATCTGCAGATAGCACCAGCATCCCGAGCAGCTCGTCATCCCCAAGGGAATAAATTCCCTGTTCCCCCGATATCTTCTTGCACCCAGGGATTGAGGGTTTTTATGAAATTCTTTGCTCTAAACTTCTAGGGCTGTTACCCGAGTACTCTACACGCGCTTTATGTGCAAGAAGCCATAACAGACAGAATTTACGGTCTCTGCCACAGATGCCAGGGTTTAAAAATGGTTTTCTCCGTTTTTTTTTTAAATATTATTATTTTCTCCCCCTTTAACTTGCAAGCTCTCCCCGCCTGCTCTGGTTTTCTTGGAAGGACGTGTTTAAAGACGGCCACTCTGAAGAGTCCGTCTTTGCACAATCTACCCAAGCCTGCAGTTGCTATTTGCAATCAAAATTCAAGGTCAAGAGCGAATCAGAACCACCCCGGTTATCCAGAGTTCTCAGCAACAGGGTTTCCTTTGGAAGGGCTTTAATTTTTGTCTAGCTTTAGCTCCTACCTTTTTGACCCGTGCCCCTTACCCATCTGCATTGCTACAGAAACATAATTACGACCACGCTGATTTCAAATGCCAGATTATTGAGTGCCCGGGTACCTTTTTGTAACGCCACTCCAAAACCGTTATGCGGCTTGAGATTTTTGTACAATAATTAAATACAATTAAGCTCCTCCTGCCAAAAAGGCCTGACTGTAAATTAGATGGCATTCAATCATGCCTTCTGATTGACTCGGGGTATTTAGTGTGCTTTTTATAAAGTGTTGACAACTTTCCCATATCAGAATTATAACCTGTCAAGGGGGCGAGGAGGAAGCAGAAATGTAAAACGATGTCGTTTTAGCTACATGTTTAAGCTATTTAAAAAAAAACAACCCACCCCTTTGCTACATAATCATAAATGCATCAAGTAATAGTAATTATGCCTCGGGGCTTTTTAGCTCAATTTACCTCTGGTTTTCCTTCCAATCTCTGATCTCCAGCCAGGTGTTCGAAAGGGAAAATAGGCCCGTGAAAAGAAAGGGAATGTTGGCAATTAGTGATAGGTTCGAGAATACTCTCATTTGTAACAGGAAAAATCTGAACCTCTCAAGATGCTCGGCGTCTCCTTCGCAACACGAGCCGAGCACAGACGTGGGTTTGCTAAGAGCTGAAAAAGTGAGCGTGTGTCAGATGCACCGTTGATTCCATCCTCGCCTTTAGGTTTCACCCACCAAGGATGAAGCTTAGCGGGGTTAGCAAATAACCATGGGATTCCAAGGAAGAATATGAACATCTAGGGCTTGATCCTGCACCCGTCCAAATCAAGGGGTGAAAGCTCCCACTGACTTAAATGAGGCAGGAGGAGGCACCTAATGTTGAGTTCCTGCTACTTCAACCGGCTATCAAAAGATTTCCATTAACTCTCTTAAACAGGGAACAAACACCCAGCCCTATCTTGTATATAGTCCACATATGTAGGTATACAGCTTTCCAAACTTCCTAAATAGGCAGCTGAATAAACACGAGACAGGAGTTTCCTGCTGAGAAATTATGTCCACTAAAAGTGCGTGTGTCTATATAATATAATAAAAATAAGGGTTTTCATCTACTGCCCCACCTGACATCAGTGGGGGTTTTGCTACTGATTGCATTAGGAGCAGGCTGGGTCCCCCTATTTGTAACCGAACAGGACAAAACGTTTTCCAGTCCAGGCGGTTTTACTTTCAATTTTTCTTGCTCTTTACAAGGCTTTGACTAACCTGAATAGCACATACCCTACCTTAATTTTTTTCTTGCATTCTGGGCCTGATCCTGCTTCCACTGAAGTCAATGGCAAAACAAAATAAAGTTATAATATTTGGTTTGCAGCTGGTTTGAAGTGCACGGTTTTTACTATATTGGGATAATTTTTTGAGTCAGTGTTTAGGAGAAAAACATTAACTTTTAAAAAATTGAAATAAAAATGAATATAAATATGATACTGGAAATATGTTTCAGCAACACAATTATTCTGTTCTTACATTATATATTATTCTTTTTCTGGTGGATGCATTTATCTTTAGTTGTATTAGAACCTCCTTTTACAGTTCATTACTTGGATAATTCATATTTGTAAAACACTTTTTTATCAGTCATTCTGTAATCTCTACTTTCAAGGAAATACTGAATGAAGCCATGTAGGAGTAATGTAAAAGTAACCTAACCCCTGATAAAACTGGATTATCGAAAGTGTTTTTACATGGGACTGATCATATGAGAGTTTGTCTACATGGGGAGTTATTCCAGAATTGCTAATTCCTGATTGTATTCGGGAAGAAGAGCGTCTACAGGTGGAGTTAGTCCCTTATTCCAAATTCTCAGTCCACTTTGGAAATGGATTCCGCACATGGAGTTAATCTGGAATAATTCATCTGTTTTCCGTTCACACTTTCCTTTGTTATGGATTAATTTTCATATAGACAAGCCCTGAGTATTGTTAATTGTGTAAGTATTTGCAGGATCAGGCCGAGGCCCATAGCATGCAATGAGAAAGCCAAGGACATTGCAGGAGGATAATATATTATGTATAGCCATCATGTCATTTATTATTGATCTTGTTATAAAAATCGTGATCTATTAAATAACTTGCCACTAGGCTAGTGGAGCGGTGGCGTAAAGGACAATCCATTTAACTGTTTCTACTAATTTTAAAACTGTCTATTCTGAATAACTTGGGGGAGGAGGAATTGATTCCTTTTGACCTGAAAGTTATGCGTTCTGCTCATCTAAAAGTGAGTTGCCACCCTGGCAATTGCTGGCTTTTTATCAGCTAATTTAAAATATGCACTTAACAGATTAACATTTTCCAACAGAATTCTACCCTTTGGTGCTGCTTCCACACACACCCACCACGTTGCCGGAACATCCTATAGCAAAGTATGGTTCTGCATTTCATTTTATTTTTTGAGGACAAATATCTTTCTCACCTTGAACCGAGCGGACCGATAAAAGGTTGGATTTTTTGTTTTGTTTTGACCTGTCCCTCATCTGAAAAGGTTGAGCTTTACCTACTGATATACAGTTCTATTTGATAATATCAACAACTCTTAGACCCGGTACTCAGAAGTCTTTGGTTTTTGTTTTTTTTAATCTACTTGGCTGCAGTATCCTCGCTGGATGTGAAGCATTCTGCAATTCAGTTTGTTCCTCTTACTTTTTGGAAATAGGCAGTGGAATCTTTAGGGCCTACTCCTGCGCCTTTGCCTTTCCTTTCCAAAGATCATCAGCTCGCAGCTTTGCTCTGAGGGGAGGAATCCTAGACTGAGAATACTTTTGATGATGGTGGTTTTGTTTTTGTTGTTTTGATTCTTTTTAGACAATAGAAAACATCAAAGTCTATCTCCACGAGAAGGAACTATGGAAGAAGTTTCATGAAGCTGGCACCGAAATGATAATAACCAAAGCAGGCAGGTTGGTGAAAATGCATTTCACACCCTTAAAGTCTCTATTCTGTATTGAATGTCACAATTTTCCCACAGCAGAATCTTTCTAAGGGGGGAGACCTACTGCAAATGATTGAATTTTCAGAAAGTAGGCCTTGATTTAAGACTTCTGTAGGATTACTCACATACTCAAAGTTATGCGCCCATGTTGGTACTTTGCTGAATATGGTCAGAAGTGAGCACGCAATTTAAGAAAAGCGAGTATATTGTCTTAGACTATATACTCTGGTCCTCTGATAAGTCTAGGTTAGTTTTAATTCTCTATGCTAATATTTCTTTTGATTATTCGTGTTTCTAAGACCTTCAGGACCATAGTGATGCCAGTTCTAGACGTGACAGTAATTCTTTCCTGAGCAAGAGATTACCTACTCTGTATAGAATAGTAGTAATGCTCTGTGGTACACTTGTGGAAGTAATAAAGCCTTTGCAAACTGAGACCTTGTTATAAACCACTGGTATCAAACCTTGGTTGAGTGGAGGGTTGAAGCTGCCATTTTATGTGTATGGGCAGAGCCGTCCCTTGGGTAGGGCGAATTGGGGCCACTGCTCCTGGCCCCGTAGGCTGAAGCGATTGGCAAGCACGGTCAGTCCTGGAAGAGATGAATCTGTCACTTCCCTCCCTGGGCCCTGCACCCCCCTAGGGATGGCCCTGTGTGTGGGGATTGGCCAGGTGTGAGTAAGTATGGGTCTGCTTTAGATTGCCTGCCATTCCTTTGCATGAAATGCTATTCATGTGTCAGTAAGCTCGATTCCTGTTTTATTTTTGCTACCATCATCGTCATAATGGTGAGAGAGGGCTTAGTCCTGTGGAGTGCTTTCAACTCTCAGTGAAATCAGTGGGATTTGAGGAAGGTGGTTCCCATTGTGTTGTCATAATGGAATCTCACAGCCGTGAATGTGAGACTGGGGCCTTGCAGCCCATCAAACAAACTGTTCCACTAAAGTGAGATGCCCCGTGAAGTCAATGGAAAGGTTGCCCTTGACATCTGGGGAATTGGATCAGGTTCTTGTGAAGGATTACCATCAAGATGTTTTTAAAACCCCTTTAATTTTCTTTAGTGCCACCCTTCTGTAGCAACTGGTGATTTCATATGACCGCACATTAGAGAATCATAAAGGTGTAAAGAAGAGCAACGGAAATAGTGTGAAATCACCAGGAAAAATGTAATTTGCTATATAAAGTCTTAGGGCTGGATCTTGAAGCCTTTATTCACATTCATACTTCTATTAATTTCAATGGGGTTGCTACTCGCATTAGAAACGGCTGAAGGATCAGGACTGCAAATACTGGGCCTGTAAATGGAGAGAGAAATTTTACCAAATTCTAGAAACTAAACATCCCAAATGTGTAGGTTATCTCTGTGTCAGTCTTAACTTAGATTGTTTAAACAAATCCATATGTCCAGGACCAAGTCTTGCATTCTTTGGGTGCTTAAAACTCCCAGTGAAATGATATTCATGCTTCACAGCTGCTCAGAGGGGACAGGGTGGCTCTGGTAATTGTCCCAGGGATGTGGAGCCTTTCACTTATAGAAGACCAAGGCCAAATTCTCTGCTGGTGGAAAATCAGTGCAACTCCATCAAAGTCAATGGAACACTGCCAATTTATGCCAGCAGAGAATTTGGCCCTCAGCCTGAACCAGGGCCTGTGTCAGTAGTGACTGATGATTCATTAACAAACCACATGAAATTCTGTTCTGAGTGGACAGTTACAATCAACTTCAGCCCAAATGGCAACTTTAATTCTCAGCAGTGAGGCCAAGGACTGAATAGGCCTTATTACTTGACTTCTGTCTAATACACCGAAGAATAATGCACCCATTGAGGCACTGACTTCAAAAGGTGATCCCTCCATGTCAAGGACGAGGCATGTTAGTTGGGAGATAGGGGTGAGTGTGTGTGTGTGTGGGGGGGGAGGGATTGCGTGTGTGTGTGAGCTTCCTCTACCAGCGCGTGTGACTCTTCTGCAGTAAGAGTGGCCGTCAGTATCCTCTAGGCCTGTTACTCCGACAGCTCTCACCAGCGCTGAAAATAAAAATACCTATAACGGTTCACAGAATAACTCGTCTTACAACAACTAAACATGCATGAAGTTAAGCCATGTGACGATCAGTCTGATTTAGTTGCACAGTTCACAACTGATCAGTGTCCAAAACCTTCTAGAAACAGAACCGCCCAGCAGCACAAGAGTAGACTTCAGTTCAATTCTTATTGAAAATCGTACTTCACCCAAACCATTTAAATACATAGTGATAATAAACCCACCCACTCTCCCCCAATGCCCCACTTTCAACATCAGAGTCTGTATCATCTTTTAAAAGGGGCCTTATACCAGGCTCTCTGTCTGTCTGCAAAAAATATAGGGCCAGTTGAGTGCAGACACAAATTATGGTCCTGATCCTGCAACAGACTGTGTGTGCGTGAAGGGAGGTGGGGTTCTACGCAGGCCCAGGGATGCACCCATGTGCACTCAACTGAAGGATCAGGTCACTTAAATGTCTAACTATTTAATTTCAAAAGGAAAAAAAGGAGTCTGTTTTTTAAATTCTAAATTGCAAATGTAACTTTAATGACCAGTTATTTCAAAAGCGGGTAAAAAATAAGATCAAAGGGAGATCTTGTTCTAGGGTGATGGTGTAAAATAGGCATTCTCTAATTATAATCCAGACCCCGATAACTCAAGAGGAGTGTGTTTATTTCATTTGTTGTCAATCTGTATAACTCCACAGGCCAAGTCAACTATAAATTACCAGGAATTCAGGACTAAGAATTACTTTGGGGGATTATTACTCCCTCTTAGGACGTAGGAGACACTTGGAGGACACAGCGAGCTCAGTACTGAAATAGGAATGATGATGTTGCCAAGAAAGCTTGATTTATAAAGTGTAAACATCTTTAAAATGCACTCACTATCTTTTTAATGTTTGACTCTTTTATTGTGAGGGGGGGGAAAGGAGATTCCTTTATATTAAAAGGATCATCAAAAGATAAAAAGTTTGTGAGCAAAGTTCCCTGAACTTTGTGCAAAACCATTCGCCTCCTTTGTATATAAAATAGCACAACTTTTCATGTTTCGTGTTTTGCGGGGTATGCAAATCAATACCTTTTGTCATGAAAGGTTTGTTCTTCTACGTAATTTGTATTGTCTTAAAGGAACACATTAAACATAACACAACAATTAAGAAGCCAGCCCTGCATTCCTTGCACATTTGCAATTCCCAGGCATTTTGGGTGTGTACAAATTCATGATTAGGCCTAAAGAAATGACAGAAATTTAAAGTAAAATTCATTGTCCTTTTTTTTTAATGTAAAAAATTCAAGATTTGCATTTTATTCAATGTAAAATTAGTATGTTTGACTGCACAGTGGGTCAAATGCTGCCCTTACATACACACAAGCCCACTGCCTTCAATGGCTTTCACCACAGTCCTGATCCTGCAAAGAGGAGCACTGAAGTGGAACACTGTACTTGCACGGAGACCCAGGGAACTCAAAGGGGATGTGGAGCAATCTGCCAAGGTGGTTCTTTTTGCAGCATTATGGCCTATTATTGTGCGTGAAATGATTTAAACCGGGTATTCAACTCTAAATGATAGCTTTAGATGTTCAGATGTATTGATACAATACAATTTTTCAGAAAGATAAAAGCACTTTTCCCAACAGAAAGATAATCCCAAACATTGTTGCCTTGAAAATAAGTGTGTGTGTGTGTGTGTGTGTGTGTGTTCCTCTTTCTTATATACACTTGCTCTACAGTATGTATCACCGTATGTACATTTTTAAAGGGTGCTGCAGATTAATACACTCATCTCTTAAGGCACTTACACTCTCTTTGTTTGTATTTAAGGCATGTAATAGTCACAAATTTAATATGAGGGAGCAATTTATACCCAAAGCAAATTGTACAACTTAATTATAAGTTGCTTTTCTTTTCTTTTCTGTCCCCAGGCTCTGTCCTGAATTAGGCTAGTCCTGTAGTTGTAGCTATCTTTGTGGCTCAAATCGGTTTCTGTCTCAATTCTCCAATGGGTTTGACCCTCCAAACCCTCATTCGTTCAAGTAGTCGTTATTCATGTGAGTAGTCCCATTGGTTTCAGGATTTCTTCTCCCCTTTCACTCTTTTCCAGATCTGTCTGTCCTCTAGTTTTAGGGTTTTTTATCCCCCTGAGGCACTGATCTTTACAGTTCTTCCCGGTACCATTCCATGGCCCAAGTGAATGGGCACACCATCACTCCATAGGCAGTGTTAGGACAGGTTTATTACTAATCAGCAGGGAATGCCAATCTGCAGAGCATCTGACCCCCTTCCTGTGGAGACCTAACTCTAAATTAATATGTCAGTTTCTCTACAGTGACGAACATCCAAATGATTATGATGGGTTTGTAACCATGGGGTGGGGTTCAGACCACAACACCGTGTATAAATGCATACAGAGCCAGCCTCAATCTTTACTGTAACATCTCTTAAAAACTGCATGTGGATTGAGGGACATTTGTTTTAAGGTCCTCTAAGAACCTTCTTACAACATACTGCACAGAACAACTTTCACCCCAGTGTACCTGGAAAACTTGCAAACCTCTGTGTGATTTTTTTTTTTTTTTTAGATTTTGGTTTGAGTGGCTTATTTCAGTTTAGCTTAAACGTGTTCACAATCGATTTAAGGTAAACTGAAATACCCCTGGTTTAAGGTTTGCACCAGTTTAACTAAATTGGTTTAAATTCACACTTTAGATTAAGCTGGTGAATTATTGTTAAGATTTTCAGCTAGGAGATATGGATGCCCAGTTCCCATTAAAATGAAAGGGAATTGTGTGTCCAGAATCACTTCAGGCACTTTTGAAAAGTTCAGCCCAAAGCTTTATGTTTAAAAAAGCAAACCAGATCAGGTATGGAACGGGAACCATCCATTTAGAACTTGGAAATAAATTAGAAATTCAAAGAATGTTTGACCTACCGAGCCGTAAATT